TCACTTAGCTAACTTAGTTGATATCGAAAAACATGAAACCGTTGTCTGCATAAAAAAAAAAAAACAATGAAAATGTTTATAAACATTCCAAATACGTAATAACAAAGAACGACAAGAATTTTATTAATAGCCAGTAAGGCTCTGAAGACAGAATGATTGTCCTCCGTCATTTTGCTCCTCAGACAAAACACTGCTGGTGGGCGTACACTTAGGTGGGAGATTTGAATATACTTTAAACATTGTGTTGGTATCTTTAGGGCGGTTAATATTACTGGTAGTAGTCATATTATTTAAAGATATTTAAGTTATGATCATTCAATTCAAAAAAAATAATTTAAAAGACAGGTATGATATTGAAATTGAACACTAAATATCGTATTTTATAAAATAAATTAGAAATTTTAATGAAAAACTTAACTAAGAAAAATGTAACTAAAAGTTTAAATACATATACTATGTAAAATATGCCGTTAAATTTTCGTTTACGATGATACCTAACATAAATCGCCATGTATTATATATTTGTTTGTCTTCATTTTTCACAATCAAGATTTTAAGTGTCACTGATTGGAATTTTTTATCGGTAACCAAACTTCTTTTTACACTCTCTCTTTTAAAATAATCATCAAATATTCTTTCAATAACTTCGTCAAAAATGTACACGTTTTGTAGAAAATTTCCAAGTTTTTATTAATATTCATAAATAGTTCTATTTCTTCTGTTTTTAAAAATAATATTCTCTACATTCCTGATTTTAGATTTACATGTTTATTGTTAAGTAATTATTACTTCACATTTTTGAATCATGGAGACCCTCAGATTCATATACCTTTTTCAAATACCTAGTTAATTTTAACTCAAAGGTTGTCGTTATTTTTTTAATATTAATACCTTGAATTCTCATTTCCATCCTATAATAGTCAACATTAAAGATACTATCTTAACGAACTAATGTTTAATTTATTGTAATTAACTTTATGGTAATCATTCTTACGAATTTAACCAATAATGGAGTTCATAATAAGTCTAGATTTAATTTTACTTTAATCTTTCACTATAAATCTTACCTTTTATGCAAATGAATTTTTTTATACACTCATTAGTAAGAAGTGAACAAATCTAAATAATTATCTTATATTATATTGACTGTCCTTCACTCCCCCACGATTTTCTAAACAATCATCTATATTAAACTCAACGCAATTCTTAATGCCTAACATAAATAATAATCAATATGAACTTTCAATAAGTCCGTCTGCCATAGATGTTAGAAGATTTTTTTTAACAACTATTAAAAAATTTAATTTTCATATTTTTTTTTTTAGATTTATATCAAAAATGCTGAAAAAATAATTTTGATAAGAAATTTTTTTTAAAAATTAAATTTAAGTTCTTCTCATTATTTATTAATTAATATTTATCTATTATTTATAAAAGAAAAAAATTTAGCTATATTTCAATAAGACAATTAAGAAGCGTTTAAACATAATATATGACAAAACGGTAAAAATCATGAAAGTTCACTATATTTTTGTACCTGAGACCTAAATATTGGAAGCAACATTTTTCATATATATATATATATATTTTTTTGTTACACAAAAAAAAAAAAAAGATCGAAAAATTACAAAAATTATGTATAAGTGTTAGAAAACATAATTTTCACAATATCAGATATTTTAACAAATTTTCAATATTGGTTATTTAGTTAAATATATACCATTATTTCGAATTATTTGAATGAAGTTTGACCAGTTTAAAAACACTTGAAAATTTTGATTTTCCCAAATTTTAGATGCGAAAATTAGAACAATAAAAGTTTAACCTACCTTGTAAGAAAATTTGGTCATTCTACCATATCAATCATGTTAAGAAATATTAATTGATCAACTTGACCTCTTTCACACATATTTTTTTTTGAGAAGTTCAAATTAAAAATATCCCTGTATGTCCCGATTGTGATGTCACAACCGACCTAGAAGTCTTATATTTTTTATTATAAATCAGTGAAAGTCAAACATTTTTCAGTGATAGTCATTAAGTTTATAGAATCTATATAAATTAATTTTTTTTTATTAAAAATTGATTTAATATTTATATTATTACAAATATAAATTTAAATTTATAAATTATAGATAATGTAATTTATTTATTATAATAAAAAACTGATCAAATTTCATTAAAATAATCAAAATCTAAGAAATATCTTAAATATTTAACTTAAATACCTCAAATCATAAAATATCAATAATACTTTAAAGATAACCAATAACAAATTAAAAAAACTGGTCATAAATGTCAGTAAAAATAATTAGAACTATCAGTAATCATATATTTCAAAAATCAAATGTTTAAATAAAATAATTCTTAGAATTTAGTTTTATAGGTAACCAAGAATACAATTATTTAGCCATAAAACAGTAAAATGTAGATCTAAATAATTTTAAGACGGTTTACTTTTTATTTTAACATAATTGTATAGGATTTTTTATAATTTTAGTGTATACATAGTATGATGTCATGCCTGATTTCATTAAAAAAATGTTTAATATCAAATTTAATTGTTTATTTTTCAAATTAAGAATCTTATTTGCTACTTTATAGTATATAGGAAATCCATAGCCTGATAATGTTAAAATATTAATTCAATGGTAGCATAAAACTAGACATAAGATTGATATTTCAACATTAAATATTACTAGACTATTAATTCATAGTTATCATTTTAAAGATAACATCGTACTAAAATTATGAGCTTACAAATAAAACTATGGAATTTGATTGCTAAATATATTTATTTCAAGGACTATGTACACATACATATTTTTAACAATTCATTTATATAATTATTAACCTAAATTAATTAAAAATAAATAACTATAATACTGAATACTTAATTTTTTATACCTAATTGAGAATAGAATACTTTATTCCAATCCTTAAAATCATGGTTGTTTATGACAATGACTGTATTATTAATATCATAAACAATACATATCATGTTAAATAATCAATTTGATTAGAAAAAATCATAGTAGGATGCTACCAAAATATTCTATACACATATCTGAATTTAATAAATGTATGCAGTGGAAGTTAAAATAATAAACATAAACAAAACTGAAATTGTCAAAAAACATGTATCTATATGTTACGGTAATAGTAAGAATACCAGTGAAACCTAGGATTTACCGGTAAAACCTAGGAAATACATTATTGCTTGGTCAAACCTCGAATAATTTTAGCAGTTCGGGCTTTTCCTAACGAGTTTTGGTAAATATTAGGATTAGCAATCAATGATTGTAAAAGTCTGAAATTATAAATTTTTTCCAATTCTGTGATAATTTTTACCTATTGACTCAATGTTAAAATGTTTGTATATGCAAAAATTTAATATTATTGTTATTATTATTAACTTCATACATAATACAGTTTCTGCCTACATGGCCTGTTGCAATATGAGCATAATATAACTTATTATACCGAACATAATAATGCATTACTTAGAAGTCATCATTCATCAGAACAATCAGTTTTTTTTCACCAGTAATATTAACAATATCAAACCGTTTAAGTTGCTAATAGTGAACTGTTTTTTTTACATTAACAGATTTAGCTACTTTAAGTTCTCTTAAAAATATATTATATTTTTCATCAGTTAAATAAAAAATATTTGTCATTTTTTAACTCTACAACATCATTTAAAATTTCATAAAATAGTAGGCGATATATTGAATACTGTGTATACTCGTAATACTAACCGCGACAATTGTAAAACGAATATTGCTCATAAAAATACTTCCTGCAATTGGCCCCAATATCAATTTATTAAATTAATCTTCTATTAAATCTGTTCTAAATCTTAATCATTGAAGACACAATATTTAAAACTTTGATTATAATTCGTATCATAATCAAAAATTAAATTAAAACTATAGATAACAACACAAATGCACAAGAATAAATACAAGAATTATCACAGAATTATAAAAAATATATAATTTTGGACTTTTATAATCATTCATAGTTAATCCTAAGATTTACCAAAACTCATTGGTAAAAGTTCAAAATGCTAAAATCATTCGGGGTTTGACCATGTAATAATGTATATCCAAGGTTTTACCAAAAACAATTGGTAAATGTCCGAATTTCGGACATTTGCTGATCACAGTTGGTAAAACCTAGGATTTACCAGTAAATCCCATGTTTCACCGGTATTAGTACTCTTACCATAACATATAAACAAATAACATTAGGAACTTATACCACTTTTATTTATAAGTTGTAGGTACAAGCAATTATAATAAAAAAAATATTTTACTAATCTTATCATTTATGGCAAAATAAAAAGTAATTAGCTAAATTTAATAATAATTAAATTAAATTAATTAAATAATTTAATAATTCAATCAAAAAAATAGATTCAATAATAATTTAGCTAAAAATCGTACAAAAATAAATTTAAATTTTGATTTAACTAAGGAATTTTTTTTAGTATTTTTAATTATTAGCTTTTAAAATAAAATATCTTGACTATTTTCATCTATAAACTTACTTCAATTTTATATTATAATCAATTTTAAATGATATGTAAAATTGTCTTATTTTGTAAAAAAAAAAAAACAGTAAAAAGAAAAATTCCAAAATATGTAACTATACAAATTTGTAACTAATTTAATTTGATTAATTATTAAGATGTAGATTTATTTATCCTATTTTAAAGAGTCTTAAACATTTTTTAACTATCAAACCATTAATTCTCTACTTTTTTCCTATCAAGCAACTTTAGAGCGCAATATACTATAACTATATCTAAGTTAAATAATAATTATATTATATTATATTATATTTAATAATAAAATTTATAAAGAAATATATCAAAATTATTTATGTAACTCATAGTAAACCCTAAAATAATAATATATACTTTAAGTCACTCTTCACAATATTAACAATTTCATTCCATTAAAATATGAATATTGAATAAATAAAATATTAACCTTTTGAATTCATAGTAGAATTTATGGATAGTAAAGTATTTCCATTCTTTAATGTATTTTCATGCAATAATAAGTGATCTTCTCCAGCAGCTCTCAACCGTTGATCACTAGTATTTGTTTTCAAACTCATTTTGATGTATTGACTTTTATTTCTATTGAAAAATAAATAATTAATATTATTTAACTAATAATTGGTATCTATTAATTTAATTTACTTACCTTATTAGAATAAAAACAACAGAAAATCAGTTGTTATCGCCGAAACAATCATACATGGACTAACATATTAATATACTTAAAATTTAATGGGTACCTACTTGAAAGAAGATAAAAATCTGATAAAATAGAATTTCAAGACTCAATAGTAGTTTAAATTTAATATTGACGTTTATCTAGTAGGAATTTAAATGTGAAATTTGAAGCCGAGTGGGAGATATTATTAATGTTAAAATCGCATGAAGTTCTTCACGTGTTGAGGTTAAAATGTAAATAAACCACGGTTCGGGTTCCAAAATAATTTTCGATTATTCCATGAACCAACGACTACGCCGAAAATATTCCTAACATTCAAGATTTACTTTTTTCTTTTTTATGTATATTTTAAACCATAACTCCACAAAATATATTAAATTATATCACTCAATTACAGAAGAGCATACATATAACTACAATAAACAGAAAATGCGGAATTGTAAAAGATTTTCTAGGAAATAAAATTTAAAGACGGGTGTGTAGAGATTTTTGTATTCTAATTACGATTTAAAGATCTTAAAAAAACAAAAAAATATTAGTAATTGCAGGAATGAAATTTTATAATTAATTTACATTAATTATTTATATAAATGTAACAAATGTTTTATTCTTGTATACAAATTCTTAAGATAACATTTTTTTTTATACAAAAAGCTTTAAAATAATTTTTAAACAATTTTTCATTATTTTTGGCCAAATATAATTAATAAAACAATTCATTACAAAATACCTAAATAATCGTAAATTATTCTTACTAATAGTTTTTAAAAATGTCGATAGAATTCCATAATTGTGACTATATTCAATTTTACATATAAAAAATATAGATAGGTAAGTACTTTCATTGCGATATAAATAATAATGGTTTTGATTGAAATACCAATGAAAGAATTACAAATGTTAAATTAAGACATCTTGGCCGTCAACATTAAGTATTTTTTAAAGACAACAATTAATTTTACATTTATACTTAGTCGTTGATGGTATGTGTATCTTCTGCATACGCAGGATATTTATAAAATAAATACAAGACCACCGTAAAATAACATTTGTAAATAATATTAACTAAAAATATAGTATGTAGATTAGGTACTTACCTACTACACCTATGCTACCATACCATTACATGCTACCAAAGGTGGATCCACAATTAAAAGAACTATTAGAAAACTGTGGGACAGGGTATTTCAGGAGACCATTTATTAAGGCTGAAACTCTGTAAAAAAATTAAATTAAATAAACAAAACATGATCATATTTTGTGGTATTATGTTTATTCATATTTATCATTAAAAATATTAGCATTTATTTTATTTAATGAAGGATTAGTTCATGGGGGTTCGGTATAGGGATGTTTTACTGTGTCATACAATTAAACCATTGGCATCATTTGGAGGGGGTTGATAATTAGGAAATTTGCCCCAGTCTAGTATTAACTTTGGTGACCATTGATTTGGCTCCTAAGACGGGCATTATTGAATTGACTCTCAATATCATTATCAACAAGTGGTTCTCATAATATAAAAGTTCAAAAAGTACGTGACTTTAATTAAAATAACTTCAACTATACATTAAAATAATTTAAAATACAAATAGTCCATCAAGGTTGTTAGTAAAAATAAAAATGCATACATAAAAAAATATTCACTGACCTGCACTGTATTAATATTAATAAATTAATACGTCTATGGTGTTGACCATTTAATGTGTTATCGGATTAACGATTGAATAATTTCAAGACTAATTGGCACTGTGCCGCCAAAAATATTACAGTCGCGTACTTTTTCAACTTTTATATTTTTAATGTATAGTTGAATTTTTTTTTTTTTCGAATAATTTTTATAACTAATGGATTTATAAAATAAGTAGGAAGCCAACTCAATACATCTTGGGAGCCAATTAAATACGTAAAAATGACGGTTACCTGAGTTAGGGAGCCAATTCAATAGCTCCGTTAACTTCAAACTAAAGCTTAAGCAATGGCGCTTGAACAATTTTTGAACCGTAGGAGCTGAGCACAGCTACAAATACAGAAGAAGAATATATTATAATGACAAATATGATTCTTAAAATAAATTAGATTATAAATTTATTGTACAGTAGCGATAATGGATTTCCTATTCTGAAAACTATTCTATTTTAGTTGCGGTTAAATATTAAATCGTTTCCATTTTCTAAATAAGGGGTAAATGTCTCTATATTATCTTATTCTTATATACATAGGTACCTTATATACTACATAAATATTAACTTTTACATACTTAGTGCATGCAAGTTATTTCTAAATAAAACTATTAGTTTACTGTATGTGTATGTTAATACTTAAAAACAAACAGTTTATTAAATATAATTGAGTTTTGTTTCTATATTCTACATAAAATTAATATAGAAGATGGTCTGCGTATTTTAGTTACGGGAACGTAAATTCTAGGAAAATTTCCTTACAGAATTTTTCCTGTAGGGGCAGTTGTTCCTTTTACTTCCATTGTTCTGGCACCCATAAGCCTAAGCACATTTAGAAGTTTTCAAGGGACCAATTATGTATGTCAACAAATATTAACTGTGGGTCAGTTAAGCTTCTAAACGTCCCTAGACATGCTATATACAAGACATTTATTTATTTATATATTTGTTTTTATAATATAGATGTGTACGTATTGCCACGATGAGTTTTTATTAAAATTATATGTCGAAGATCATTGACGTCCATTTACCGTTTTTAGGGAGGAGAGTCGAACTTCAAACATGTATCCCATTTTTGTATTTTTTTAATGTGATACATAATAAATAACAACAATTTGAAGGAAAAAAGCCATAGATGGATGACTGCCCTATTCGCTGCAATTCGTTTCCACACATTCAAAATTTTTTACCTGAAAATCGACGACTCGTTTACGCACGACGAAATCAGTCGATTAGCTAAAAATTGATTACTCGTTTGCGAATAACGACACATTCACACACATGACACGTGTATACATAAATCGTCACAGACTGCAGTACAAATTATCATATTATTATATAGATCTGTTGCTTTTTTTTGAAAATTGTAAAATAAGAAATAATAAAAAACTATTTACAATAGCATTAACAATACCAATTAGTTCGGCTACTTGCGAAAGAAGTTTCAGTACAATGAAAAAAATAAAAACTCGGCTAAGGTTCAGCGATCTTTCAATACTATATATTGAAAATGAAATATCGAAAAATATAAAAAGCCATGATATTTTGAATATCTTTGCTGATAAAAATAGATATTTGTCATTAAAATAAAATATTAATTATTTTTAAATATACGTTATCTAGTGTTTTTTTTTAATATAATTTAAACATATCTATATTTTTAATAGTAATAAGTCTTACGTGTGCACAAGAAGAGGGTGTGGGGGGCAAAGCCCCTGTGGGTTATTTTACAATGAATTATTTTAGCCCCCCAAAAATTCAACCAAATGTCCGCCTATGCTTTAATTTATTAGATAAAACAGTGTAATGAGAAGTCGGGCCCGGCATTACATTACTGACATTACATTACTGTTATCGTGATATGTACATATATATTTTGTTATGATAAACATGTGTTCTTCACGTTTCATGATGATAGCCTAACCTAACTTTTAGTATAACATAGTCTAGGGAGATGTTACTACACACCCCTGGCTACGTGCCTATGTAGTATATCATAATATGTAAACAGTTAATTATACATATTATATATACAGATATATAAATATATATGGGAAAATAATAATATATCTCTTATAATAGAATGTTTTAGTTATAGATAAATTTTTTTAAAAATAAACTATTTATGAATTTTATGTCCAAAATTCTCAGTCTCAGAGTTTTTTCAAAATACTTTTGTTATCTAAGTAAGCAATTATATTCCATTGAAGTGTTCTGTGTACTTATTTAAAAAATAAACGTTCAACGAAAATGTGTAGGTATCCATCTTGAATCATTTTACTGAACTTGGCGACAACTGAATGTATATGTAAGTGCTACAGTGGCGGCTCACGTTATATATTATAAACAGTATTATCGTAAAATGATGGGACTGGTGGATAAATGTATGTCAACACATATACTAGGCAAGGCCATAACTGGTGGGGTCCAGGGGTCCGACCCCCCCCCCCCCCCCGGAATTTTCAAAAGTAGAAACATTTTAGCGGTGAATATAGTTTATTAACTATAAATTGTATTAAATAATAATGTTAGACCCCCCGACATTTTTTTCCAGTTACGGCCTTGATACTAGGTACGCACACGACAGCGAGGTAGACATTTTTACGAACCGATAATAATAAAATTTTAAATATAATAATAAACGTGTGATTTAAAAACAAAATTCACGGACTCTCAGGAAGTTAAATAGAAATCTCTAGTTTTAATAATACTACAACCTCTCTAACAGGGTCGGATTGGGAGAATATTCTACTGGGAAAATAAAAATAAAAACGGACCACTTAGGTATACCCAGTGATGTATTGCTAAAATAAATCATGGGTATACGTTTTATTTCATGTAGTAACTATTATATGGTAGGAATCAAAAAAACTCGCTCATGAACTACATATCCTTAATTATGACTGTTTGATAGCAAAAACTTGATGTTAATTGATAACAAATTTGAATTTTTAATTGAAAAAAAAAAAATAATAATAATATATCTGATACCAAATCACGTCATACATATAACCAAAGCCGTATCTGGGAGGGTCTGGACCCCCCTCCCCCCCGAAATTTCTTCAATATTTTACAAATGTTTAAAATACTTATTTATTTTTAATAACAATAAAAATATTTTCAGTCAAAAATGACTTAAGCTTCAATTAATCATTGACTGCTTTTAATTTTAATAAAAGAAGATTAAATATTTTTC